TATTATGTAATTGGATCCTTACAGTTTCCTTTGTATCTAATGAACATCCTTTTTAACGATTTAAACCACTCCCACTCTCTAATGCATATAAACCCTATTGTAAATCGGCTAGATCATTATGGTCAATAAAGGCTTTACAATCCGGGTGGACTCAGTGCACCTCACTTCAATTCCACTCAACGCAACCCAAATCACCTCAACGCAACTCAGCCTGACCCAACTCAACTCAACCCAATACAACACAACACAACCCAATTCAAATCAGCCCAGCGGATCTTAGGAAGCCGATGGACAACACTGATGATATTCGGCTATTGATCGACATCACACTCCACGATTCAGAAAAAAACCCACCACATCTCCAGCATCGCAGAACAAGCTTGTAAAACTTAGTGTGAAATGCTTGACCTCCGTGTTACCAGACCTCAGTTGGGATACCTTCAGTCTCACCTGCCTTGCCAGTTTTCATCTGCTCTATGCTTTTGAGCGTCCCTGCCATAATAGGGATTATATCCAACTCGCTTTTCACTGGTTCTTGTGTTATGTGCTGTACTGAGTCTTGGACTGAGGGATTGGCACTTTTTGGAAATGTTTTGAAGAGTTTAGAAATGTTTGGACATTGATTTAGGGCGGAGGTTTTGCAGTAAGAAGCATTTGACCATCTGTACTGAGTAGGGAGCTCTGACCGCGTTATATGGGTCCATACACAGCTTTTAGAGCCTTACAGAATCCTCCATAGTCACCCGAATCTGCCTACAATTGAATATTCTCTGCTCGGTTTATCCATCATTTGTTTTGATGTCCCGAATTTTCTGCTGAGCTTGCTGCATGCAAGGCGAAAGATGGCTTCTCTTACATGATACGATAGCTGAGCGAGATATGCTTGGTGAGCAGATCTCTTCTTTGTCAACAAATTCTGGATTTCTTCATTGTTCCCGTTAAACCAGTCCTTATTCCTCATGCAGGTGAATCTTAAGGATTTCATGGAAGACTCCAGGGCGCTAGTTTTAATATGTTGGCAAAGCGCTTTGGGAGAGGGATCTGCGGGATGACCTTGAAATCTGGTTTAAATATTTATCTGGAAGTTATCTTTCACTGTAGGTATTTGAAGATTGTTAACTTTGAGCCTTCTTCTTGGAATTCCATTTCTCTCATGCTTGAATTTAAAGCGGAGATTGAGTTTACATCGTACAAAGCAGTGGCATGTTTGACATTCGTACTAGAAATCACACCAGTGTGACGAACATTGTAAACGTTTCTTTGAGGCACTAAAACATAGTCAATAGATGCCAGTGCTTGAATCGAGGATGCATCCATGTTGTCTTCAAAGTGTCCCTCTGCTGAAAGATGTTTGTGGTGGTGAGTTGCTGTCTGCACAAAATTCTAGCAACACCCGTCCAGTGTCGTTGCAGTTTTCAATGCCACGCTTGCCTAGTACACCCTTCCTGGCTTCGGAGCTCTTTCCAACTCAAGCACTGAACCACCAAGGATTATGACTTATCATTAGGAGGAACCTTTTGGATGAGACGGTACAGGTCGGTATAGAATCTTTTTCCATAGGTTCGGCTTGCAGAGTTGGCAACATACATGCTGAAGAGAACAACTTGTTGCTTGTTGTATAGTAGGAGGCGGGTTTGGAGGCGGTGGGATTTTTAACCATGAAGCCAACTCCTGAAAGGTGATTTTCGGTTTGGGTTTTCCAGTCCAGTAGAGTGTGTAATCGGCGCCATGTTCATTAAGGATACCGTCCTCATGGAGGTGAACTTCGCTGAGAGCAGCAATATCCATGTTGAATTGTGATAGTTCATGAGATAATTATATTCACAGAGTTGTCCATTGTTCACATTGTTAAGCATGGTTCTAGTGTTCCATCACGCGAGTGTCAATTTATGTACACCTTTGAAGACAAGTGTGTGCCTTCGTCTTTTTGTCTTTGTTTGTCCGACGTGAACGAACAAAAAAGACATTATTGATCACGGTTGGCCAACTGAGTGAAGAGGAGATGAGTTTTGATTAGGCCACCTTTTTCTCCGTATGGAGCAAACAGTGTTTTCCTTGAAAAAGGCTGCTTGGCTATTCAAGATGCTATCGAACAAGACTGTCATCTCTGGGGTCAGTCTCGAGCGAGCAATTCCTGTACCGCTTCCATGCAGGGTTGGGACTGCGGCTTCTAGTGCATCCTGTCACCTGCCGTTTGATCCCTTGCCTGTCGCTACAAAATTTTAAAAAGTAAATGTATTCTTCGAGCCTGTGCAGTGGATTTTTTAGGTGAGCCACAGCATGTGTGGACCTCCTCTCACCCTTTGTTCCTAAGGATTGTCTGCTAGGGCCTAGCAAACTTGGACGGTAGCAAGGAAGTCCTTAAGAGGTAGGTTTAGTTAGAGCGTCTTTCTCTGATATGGATGACCTTACAGGGTTAAACGAACTCGATCACTCCGGGTTTGAGTTCAGAGTTGTCTTTCCTTTTAGGATGGTTGTTGGGAGGCTAACCAACCCATTCCGGCCGTGGACACAGTTTGTCTGATCCTTCATTAATATCTGGCTGGAATAGGAACCCCTACAAAGACATTTTTCATCGCCAGCATAGTTTGAAATCTTATAAGGACATGCTAGCTTTTCTCCTCGATCAGATGCTGCCTGTAGTGAGTAGTGAGAAGATCCCATTTTAATCAATCTTATCAATGGATACTGTAAAAATTTTATTCACCAATTGTTACTACAATATCATTGATAGTATCAAGAAATCCCGACTTGACATACCTGACTTTCATGTGAGAATCAATGGTTCTGCAAGACTCGCACTTGACCAAAAATAGCTAAGCACATTTAATTTGTCTCTGTTATGATTCCTTTGCATATGCGCTGCAGATTTGAAACTTCCTGGCCAGTCGTTCGGCGGCTACTCACTGATGGGTTCGGATTAATAAATATTCTAACTGAGTGAAACGTTGCTAACAAATAGTAAAATTGAAGTATCCATTATCGGTGGAATTTTGCATGTGAACTGACAAATAAAATGAATAGACGACCCTACGTAATGATATAAGAATTTAAATATTATGGTTAAAAGGAATCTTTCCCTTCCTAAAAATTTACTTCCATTTTATTTCTACCATAATCGGGTGGAGGATTCATATAAGGATTTTCATTTCATCAATAATTTTAACAGCAGTAATACTTACTTGATGTTTTCCGTGTATAACATGCAAGTTATTTGCTTGTTATATGTTGCATTAACAATGAAAAGACTGTCTAGTAAATGCGCAAATACACAAGAGACAGGGAATTTTAATCGCTAAAATAAAATAATAAAAGAATGGAAAAAGAACAAACCATATAAAACGAAAAATGAATAACTAATGAGCAAGCGATACCAGTAATAACAGCAAGAGATTATTATAAATAAAATAGCGACAAAAAATAAGAAACAAGTGACAAGAATTTAATTAGTAGAGAATACAAATAATCAGCAATATCAGAAATAGCAGCACGTATTTCAGTTTAAAATGCCTGCTCAGTTTTATAATTTTCCTTGCGTGATTTCAAAGAGAGATTAATTATTCAGGAAACACTTTAGTGCATACAGTACAGTTGAAGATTGGCCTATTTTTGTTGTGAGTTGCTATGTGATATGGCGAATAAAATTGTATTCGGAATCTTTTCTTGCATATCGGACAACTTAATGGCTTCTTACCGATATGAATCCTCATATGATCTTCCTTATGGTGTAATCGAGAGAAATTTTTCTTGCATACCGAACAACTGTGAGGCTTGCTGTGAGACTCATACTCTTACCGGTATGAGTCCTCATATGCTTTTTCATAGCTGATAAATGAGAAACTTTTATTGTATGTGGGACAGCTGTATGGCTTCTCACGGTATGAGTCCTCATACGATCTTCCTTATAGTGTAATCGAGAGAAATTTTCCTTGCATATCGGACAGCTGTGAAGCTTCTTACCGGTATGGCTCCTCATGGGAACTTTGATATTTGTTCCTTTTTTTATTTACATCAGATTGCAGTTTTCTCTTTTTCGATTTCTTCCCTGAGATTTCTTCCGCACTTTTTCGTTAACGCCCTGTTCTTTAACTGTTAAGTTCACTAATGTTAACTTTATTAATTCCCTATATCTTTTAGACGAACTCACTCCTTGCACTGGTAAATTTAACCAGTTCCTTGCACTGGTAAATCCAGTTGGACAAAGAAGAAGGCGAAATAGATGAAATGCATACTGATGTGAGTAATTTATTGTCTATTCTGAAAAACATTTCAGTTTACTGGTGTAGTGAATGGTTACTCATAAGAAATAAGACCGCTTTCTGTTTGACATTTACATAATGGAAAAATTTCTTCCGGTAAATGTTTTCCCCAGTATATTAACATCGAAAGAACAAACGGTTTTGATTTGTTGCTAGCATAATATAATTGCATTTCTCACTCAAACGATAAGCATAAGAAGTTATTCACGCTGTAAATCGGTCACAAGCGTTCCAAAGTCTTCACAATGTTCATAATTACAAATTTAATAAAAAGAATTTTGTTTTGAAAAAGTACTTATTTACAGGTTCGTTATAAAACTCCAAAATCTCTCATAACGTGATACTTTGAGAAGCAATTGACATTATCTATCGAAATAAATGAAATAGAACTTACCAAAAGTTGTCGCTGATCTCGCGAGTAGACAATAATCTCCCTTTTTAAAAACCAGACATTTTTGTTTTATATGCTCATTGCGTTAACAAAGAAGTCAACACCAATGGGTGCTCCATAAGGATGCTAATTCTTGTAATCATAAAACGGTACAAAGACCCTCCCAGTCGAAGAAGCAGATGATCCTGAGCATTAATCCATTTTTACAAATGTGTTTCATTGAGGTCGGTAGGATATAAATAATCAGACGTGATTTGTCTTTGTTGTTATATATTCGTTATTAATTTGTTGTATCGATGTCATATTTGCAAGTTCGTTGTTGTATTAATAAATTTATCGTAATAAAGGTTTAATTACCCAAGTTTGAGGTACTACCAATTAAAGAGGCAGAAAGAACCCTCAGTTTTTGCCACAGTTGAAGAAAGTCGGCGACAAAAGTCGTGAAAAAGACTTTGACACAAACGACCAGTCACTACCTCTGTTAGGCCTTGTTCAAGTATCGTCTGCATAAATGCACATCCAAATGGGAGTGGCAAACTATCTGTATTTATAATCTATGTCCACATCTAATAATGTAATTATAGCAGTTGCTATTTAATCTTTTACACTGAATTTCATTTTAGCTGTTGCATTGCATTGCAAAAACTAATTTATACAAAGCAGTTGTGACATTTTTTGTACAGTTTTGTTTCATTTCCTTTCAATTTTTCCAAAACCTTCAAAACTGAGACAATATTAGCGAGAGGGAAAGACTGCATTGCTACATTTTCGCAATTAATACTATTGATTTATATATGCCAAATGATTTCATCAAATCATTTTTCAGACTCCATATCCCTTCTTAAACACAGTTTTCAAATTTGTTATATAAAGAAAAAGTTCAGGAAACTTGAAGATTCCACGATTTTAAAAATAGAAAAAATAATGTCAATGATGATAATAATGCCACGATGACATTTATCAGCAAAAGCATCTGAAAGAAATTAATTAATAAACAAATAAACAAGAAGGAAGAGTGAGAAGTGGGATAAATTCCTACTGACAATAGCAGATAAAAAAACAGCTCCAACTAGTAAAATGCTACCTATCTATCGTTTGGGATAATTCAGCACCGATCTCTATTATTTGTGATCAATTCGTTCATTAGTTTATATATTTTGATTTTTTTATTTATTGATTCATTAAATTTTCTATTAGATATTTTCATATTGTTCCGAAATGTGCTAAAACCGAATTGTCGATAAAACGTTGAAACGAAATTTCTTCAAGTCAGTTTATCTTTTACCCGATTTATGAATCCCAATGCCATAATACATCCACTTTCGGAAATATTTTCATAAAGGATTTTTTTCGAAATGATCTTTTGTATTGTAATGTGCGAGAAACAGAAGAGATATTATAAAAAAGGTTGAATTAATTTTTAATGAAAATGAATTATAGTATTTCAACAACAGTAGAATATAACGCTAATGAAACTTTGTTTTGGACTTCTCGTTTATATTATCAGTCATTTGATTGAAACACTTTCTTAGCAATAAACATAATATAGCTTATCAAGAGTGCTTTGACGGGAATAAGATTGTAATAGGCACATAATTAAACTACAAATAGAATTGTCGATGATATAATCGCCAAGTTGCTATGGAATTGTAGATTTAATAAAATTATCACATGCGCAAAAGGTTTAACTGAACTAAGTTTAGTACCAATTTTCTCGAGATGGCTGGCGGTGTTGTTTTCGGCGATGGTCAAATTGCATTTTTATGTATCACAACGGTAACCTTTCTTTTCCACGTTAATTTTGTGCACCTCTCAAACATGAAGGTCGCAGGAATGATACGATATCTGTCTAAATCTTTTCATTTCTGAAAACACTGAAGTAACAATTCATGACACTTTAACGAAGCCATTTGGGTGACAAAGTTAGAAAAGATGGGATAATATCATTTAAGGAAATAGAAATCTAGAATCTATAACTTTACGAATAGGAAGAAGGATCAACTTCGGTTACAGAGGAGAAAGTTGGGAGCTATAAATCTAGCTCTTCTTAACACAATACTTGTCATATTTATCGAAGATGAATTGGATTGCAGGTATCTTTATTTGGGCTGCTCAGCAACGGTTTCTCACTTTACATAATACGTACGAGATCACTCTTCCGCAATGCATTTGGAGCTCTATGCAGCAGCTATCTAATTTGCAACTTAGAAGCCATAGTTTTACTTTTGATATGGTGTACTATCGTCTTAAGCGTGTAAGTTACGGTTGCTTTATGAAAAAATTTACTTCGTTCACTCACAATTTCTTAATTACCTTGTTTGAAAATTTTTAATTTAGAAAACCTCCAACATTATCGTCATCAACAATTTTTTCCATACGACTAATAGGCGTATTGGTGAACGGAGCGTGGTTTGGATCGCTTTTTGTGCATTTCTT